AGGAAAAGTCCGTTCACAGACGCCTGGCTTACATTACGTCGCTGCTGTCCGATGTCATCATCAGTTTAATCTTACAGTGGTGATAATCGGTACTAGCATTATTTATGGACACCACAGTTGATAGTCAAGGGCCGGGACAGCGCAGTCTGTACAGCGACTGGCTAGTGGCTGGACGACAAAGGGGTTCGGAGTTCGAGTTCCAGTGGGGGCAAGAATTTTCATTTCTCCATGTCGTCCAGACCGGCTTTGGGGTTCACCCAACCTCTTATCCAATGGGTACCGGGGGCTCTTTTCTCCGGAGATCAAGAAAACGTGGGTCTATACATTCACTCCCCCACACATCTTCATGACGTTGTGGTTAATTAGTTAAGCACATGGACAAATTTATGTTTTACCTTCATATTTGATGGTGTCTTGTATATTTTACCCGACAAGTCATCACATAAACGTGTTTGCATGCATCCACGTGTCGAAGAGCATAGAATAAGTTCCTTTCGTTTCAACCAATCAATCGAACAATAAATCAACGTTAATGGGACTCCCTGCCAGCTTTAAACGAATTAATGTACCAAAAACAGAGATTTTACGGACCTAGGCTGGTAACCGTATTAGGAGCTATCCTCGTAAACGTCTGCGTGGAAAGATACGTAGTTGCGTCCGTATTTGCGGTTGTCGTCATATAATCACTGAAGGCTTACATATCTGTCATTCCGCATTAAAACATGTCCACGCAAAATGAAGCCCAGAAGGGGGGGGTCCAATAAATTCAAAATATAACACACAGGCTTACGCAGCAGTCGATTCCGAAATTAAAGACTGTTTCTTCGTTGCATCGCGATTTTAACATTTCTTAATTTGTTTGAACTTCACTCTTCTTGGCCTTCCACTTAGCTCAATGGGGATGGACGACCAAAGAATCGGAACTTGATTCCGGCAAAAGTTTTAGTTCCCCCCCCCCCGCGTCCAGACCTGCTGTGAAGTTCGTCCAGTCTCATTGCCAGTGGATACCATCAGCGACTGACGCATGAAGCCGTCCACTCACCTCCATCTAGTGAGGAGTTAAGAATGCGTGGAGCTGCACCTCCACTCTCTTCATACGTGAATGGTACTTAATTAAGAAGAATGACAACTTTACCTCTTACTTCTCATTTAAAATCTACTGAGATTAATGCACTAATCGACCTGTACCGTAGCACATATTGCGGGCAGTGCTTCTGGTGATACGGATTCCATCACCATTATTCAGAACAAGACTCCGTGGCGGACTTTGGTTCAGTAGTCACGGATCTTGGAATTCTACAGAATGGTTCTCTCAGTGCCGTCCTCTAGCCTGAACCCCGTCGGACTGCGACGGAACGCCGGTGAAGCTTGCTCTGTAACACTTAGCTCTTCAACTCCGTGGCTTTTTAATCCACAAGCGAACTATACCGATCGGGCGACCGCCGCTTGTCGACGAAGTTAGTGCCAACTTTAGCGGATAGAGGGTGTCACGTGATCAGGGCAACGGATCCCCACGGCCGTTAATCTCGGTTTTCTAGACCGGAGCCCCTATTTTTCCATTCAAACAGCTCCTCAATTATCCTCACGAGGCTGACTGGACCCCGTTCCAGACCCACTACTTCTCAGAGAATCTGGTAGGGCCTGCAATCGAACCCGGGGCCTCTGGATATGTAGCCAGGAACTCTGACCACTAGACCGCAGTGCACACTCCCACCCAAAGTCTCATCAAAGCGAATGCCTGAATAGTACCTTCGGCGAAAAGGTCACGTTTCCTCCCCATTTTGTTACGAGTAATATTTAAAAAGTACATAGCAGAGAATCCTTCCAAACTGAAAGAACACATGCTTGAAATCTATGTCCATCTACACTTCGTAATGTTACAAATGTGTACTGTAGCATTGCTATTGTGAGAAGCGATGCCGCCTGATCTCAAGTTATGTCCTACTTAGTTTGGCATAAAATAAAAGAACACCTTTTTTTTTAAATTCGATTAGTGGGGGGTGGAGTCCGACTGGGTCCACTTGGCACTGCGGTCACTGATTGGCCTATTGTAGCCTGCCCCGGGTGATTATGATGATGGAGAATTTGGTGACATGAAGATTGGCAGGAGAAACCTAAGTACTCTGAGAAAACCCGCCCCAGCGCCACTTTGTCCACCACAAATCCCACTTGACCAGAACCGGGATCGAACCCGGGCTGCCGCGGTGGGAAGCCAGCGACTAACCGCTTGAGCTATCGCGCGGCCTAAAAGAACACTTAGAAAGCTGTTAAACTGACCATTTTCCACAAACACGTGACTTTTAGTTTCCTCTGCGCCGAAGTCTTAACTGTTACTTCTTTAAAATATTAATATGAGAGCAAAGTACATGTAAAGTTGCCCCTGTGCTCGGCTAATTAAGCATTACGTCAAGACGGATGGGGAAGTGGATGTATAGATCCACATATTCTTGACCTCGGCACTAACTGTAGATGAGTGGTCAGCCTCATGCCGGACCATAATAACTAACATCTCCATCCCGTGCCATAACTGCGGTGGGCAAAATATGACCCGCGGAAATTTAAATTGGACCACTGGATATATTATTAAAATATGTCGCTTTTTATCGTTTATTCCTTATATTCAAAGTATATGATCTGAAATGGTAATAACTTAAAATCTCTAATATTCTAGCGAAAATGGAAGGGTTCCTAGCACGTGTAACCGTACTATAATTTTTAAACTAACTCTTTGGAGCTAGATCCTTCTTGAAAAGCCATCAGTTACTTCGCTATTCAAGATTTCCCCAACACTTTACAGAACCAGAAGGTTCACTACCGTGTTCAAACGATCCCGCCAGATTAATCCAGTCCATACTACTCCATCCAATTTCTCAAAGATTCATTTTAATATTATCCTCCCACCCATGTCCAGGTCTTCCTAGAGACCTCTTCCATCCCACCAAAACCCTGTACTACTCCTCTCCACCATACGGTCTACTTGTACTGACCATCTTATCGCAATTCACCTAATCGCTCTAATTACAATTTGGTGAAAAGTGCAAGTTATGCAGTTCCTCTTTATGCAATTGCCTGCAACCTCCCATTTTGTAAGATATTATCATCGCATCCGGGATAGCACATTCGGTATAGTGACTGCTACGGGCTGGACGACCGAGGGGTCGGAGTTCGAGTCCCGGTAGGGTCAAGAATTGTCTCTTCTCCACGTCGTCCAGACCGACTCTCGGGCCCACTCAGCCTCCTAGCCAATGGGTACCGGCGGCTCTTTGGGGGNGGCAGTGAAGTTGACCATTCATCTCCAAGTAGTGCGGAGATCAAGAAAACGTGGATGTATACATCCACTCCCGCATACGCCTTCACTGCGCAGTGCTTAGTTAAGCACAGAGACTTTACCTTTATTATCAATATTTTGTGCAAGTAATTTACATCTATTTATGTTAAGAGTAAAGAATTGTTCTCGCAAGTTCTCTGGCCCACCGTCGCTCAAAAATATGCTGAACGTACCTGCTAATGTTCCTGTACAGAACAATGCTTCTCTGGCTGTTATGCTTTCAGTCTGCTGCTACAACATTCCCAGTCGGTTAGCACGACACAAATCCCAATACAGCTTCCAAATTTTATCTAAGAACTCGCACATGAACACAATTTACAACAAAGAAGAATGAAACAAGTTCAGCATTATCCCCTCTACTTGCCCGGAAATAGATTTCTAAGTGCCCGAACATTTTGTGGTACAAGAATTCGGTTCAAACCGTACCTTAAGGACTGATTCCTTGTATGTCAGCGGCCAATACACGCTTAAGATAAAGCTGAATAACGGCCTAATACAGATATGCCAAACTCCCGACGGAAAATTTTCACAACCATAGATATAATGCAGCTGGTGATTTCTGCCTTCCCTCATGTATGGTGTGCTCTGTTCGTTCCAATTCCAGAAATCCAATGATGTAAGACCATGTGTCAACTACTCCCGTCTACTAAAACTGTACCTGAAATTACAAACTCGCTCAGAGCCCCACTGCCGGAGTTCTCTAAATCTGTTCGTATACGTATTCTAGTTTATAACAAAAGCAAATGAACTGCTTGTATTATCATCGGGGTTTGAAATGTTGTATTCAGATCTCAGGGTACAAACAGATGAGGACTGAAACGTGGAAGTCCATCACCTGTCAGGGTGTAGGGTGGGGGGGTTACAATACAACTTTGCACGCGTTTCAGACGTTACCATGCCAACCACAGTAGTAATGCAAGGTGGCGCGATCGGGTAGAACTTTAGGATGTGACTTGCCAGATTTCAGGAAAGAGACAGAGAATGGAGAAGTAGGGGGGAGGGAATGGATGATAACAATTCCCCCTTCCCTATCCCGTGGGGCAGTAGTCAGAAGCGGCAAGTAAGCAAGGACGAGGGGAAAGGATGTGCATTCCTCCCCCCCGCCCCCTTTCGCTTCCGTGAAGACCCGCTCAAATTCAAAACGATGAAACACATGCGGACAGTTCCGAACTGCATCTCCGTCACACCCCCGGGAAGCATGTGACCGCGTGAAATGCCAGCCAATGTATGATCTGACACATTGTACCTTCAAAAGTGCGTGTTTTGGAATGTGCTTATAGCTCTGTTAACCCGACTATTATTAAAATTTTTAGCTTACGATAAATGTAAATTTATATATATCAAACTCATGCAGAAATATTTAAAATGATAACACTACCAGGATGATGTGTTATTGTCCTCGTTTACCTGTCCTAAGACTACGGAAAAGGAATCTACATATGGCGTCAAACGATTTTACAATAAACAGGAATATGGAATTAGAATACTGTTATAAAACAGCGCTTACTAACTCTACATCGAAATAAATGCTTGTCACCTTCCTGAAACGTATACTTCCATAACAGAAAAGAAAAACACTAAGAATTTCTGCTCGATATAAAACAAAACACTCAAAACTTCTGTTCGGTAAATGCCCTCCACCACCCCGAAAAGAATAAAGCTGTCTTCTTACCTGAACGTCACGCCACATTGTTGTTCAAGTTAGCCAGAAGCCATAGCCGCCTGTTAGAGCCGGCTGCACCATGTCACAATTACACAGCCGTGTTCCTCGAGCGCCATGCAGTCGCCTTACTGAGTTTCAGTTCAGGCATCAGCCACTCGGTTCGCCTCTTCGCTCCCACATCGCGCACCCCTCATTCCCCGCAAGGGTTACAAAGTGAGGACCGGTCCGTTAGGCTCCACTCGGAGCGGCACGGTTTATACCCAGCTTTACCCGAACCAACATCGGCTCGGCTCCGTGCTTCCTCGGCCCACCTGAATTTTACTTCGCTCGCTCGTTGCGGATTAGCTTGCCAAGGACCCACACAACACGGTATGGCAGAGACCGACTCGGCACGGACAGTACCTAACCATTTCCTTTGCTTGTTTGTTTCGTTCGGATTGTATAGCTACGAAATATTCTTGAAGGGCTCGGATTTATTCGTCCATCTTCGGATTACACATTTTTCGTCGGGAAACATCGGCAATATTCGGTTTTGGTTAACGTGGAATTATATCTCGTAGAATAGCACTTCGTGTATGTTCGGGCCGTATGACCCGAAAGCCTTGGGCTGTGACGAAATTGTCATGACGTACGTCGCCGGCGCAAGTGGGAGAACGCCATGACTGAGATAAAGCTACCACACAGTCGCTTGTGTTCCCCTCCCATCATGGAAATGGTTGGGTTTTAACGAAACGGGGCTGGTTGGTTGACTAGGCTTGTCCCCAGCCGCGATAAACAATGGTCTGACCGCTCCGGTCGACGCTGCTGCCCTCTATCAGAGCCTCAGACGCTGCAATGACGATCTTCCTCGCAATAGCAGACTGAACTGCCTGAAACATTGACTGATCAAAGCCGCAATTGAGAGCGGAGGACCATTTTTAGTATAGACTTGCTGGAAGAGCGGCGCTGATGCATATAGTCTATTCTACATTGCAGCCTGGTTGCAGTCACTTGATTAATAATATATTTTGTTATGGTGATAGAGGCAGTGCCAACGGAGCCGTACTCTGAAGGAACTGTTTCAATGTACATTTAATGTCCATAAAAGGAAAGTCCTGTTCATTATAAATGTAAAAATTACCGGAATTGTGGTAAGAAAGTAGTTTATCCAATACTTATTCCAGAACAGAATGAAACAAACGTGAAGATGAAGGCGAAAATTAAATGTCTTTGTACTCAGATGTAGCGTACGTTTATAATTATTTGTCTGTAGATGGAGTCCTTTGGGGAATAACTGGAGACTGGTCATTGAGGAAACCAGTGCTTTCTAGTCATGATATTACCTGCTGTATGGAGGATCGTTGGGAATTTGAGTTCACTATGCTTATGTTGACATTTCTTCCCCCAACTATCGTAACTTGTGAATTCGGTTCCTAACGGGCGTATCTATTTTCGTAAATGCCCTTGCACAAGATTTTCAGCAGCAGTATTGATGTTGCTTGTAACTTCTGTGAGAAATTTATGTAATCTAGAATGTTGAATATTACCGTACAGATTGAGTTTGTGCTTATAAAAACCTTAAACTATCATGTCGCAAGAATAAATGTACCAAAACCATTCCCTTTTATATTTCTGTGTAGTGAATACGGAATTTTTCGTCAAGGCTAAGCAAACGCGGCGAGTTCCCAATTTTCTATGCAGTGTCGACATTCCTGCGCTAGATGTCTCTGGCGGTTCCTACCTGTTGTGTAGTGGACCGCTGGGTCACGTCTTCCTGGTGACATGGAAAAACAACTTTAGTTTTTAAAATGTTCCTCCTGTTGAGATTGTACATCGTTATTAATGTGAATTATGCAGCTGCGTATCTCTCAGACCTGTCTGTAATATATTGAGAGCAATTATTCAAGTATGTAAGATTTGAGGCTTTCACGGCGGTGACTATGAAGAACGTATACGTTCCTCCGAAACGTCGGTTAACACCACATATACACGGTGCCAAATCCCAGAAGACTGCTTTCTTCAATTATTCAAGTACTTTCCACTTTCGCGAGTTATTAGAATTGTGGAATACTACATGAAACGTAACTATTTCGTGAGTGTAGTTGAAATTTTAAGTTTCATAACTTCTACTGTTCTCAATGATCAAGTCAAAGAGGATGAGGTGGGCAGGTCATGTAGCACGAATGGGGGAGAAGAGGAATGCGTATAGAATATTANCCACCGCGGCAGCTCGGGTTCGATCCCGGGTCTGATCAAGTGGGATTTGTGGTGGACAAAGTGGCGCTGGGGCAGGTTTCCCCCGAGTACTTCGGTTTCCCCTGCCAATCTTCATTCCACCAAATTCTCCACCATCATAACCACCCGGGGCAGGCTACAATAGGCCAACCAGTGACCGCCGTGCCGAGTGGACCCGGTTGGACTCCACCCCCACTAAGCGAATTTAAGGCTAACCGGTTAATGCTATTTAGAGAACCAGTCGCTGTTTACTGTGAGAAGCATGCGAAACACACTCTGTAGGCAGAATGCGGGGTTATTAACATTGTCACTGTAGGGGTGACTATAGACGGGGTTTGGATTGGTGAATAGATTTATTGACCACCTACAGGTCGTAGCTACAAAAAACTATAACACTATCGCTATTTCCGCAATTTAAAGTTCATTAGAACACACGGTCTAATGTTCTCAGTCTGTCACTAGACGTTTCCTCGTAACTGCTCCAACGGTGGCCATTCCTCTTCCTCCAGGCTCAAGTCCTCTCTTCACAAACTCCCGTATAGAACTGACCAAACTCTAACCTTGTCCCTTGCTTATAACATCTCGGCACGGATTACATAGAAAACACAGCTCTTTCGTCGTTGATCGTCGATTCGTTGCTGCGGGGAAGTGTTTACCTAGCCGTTGCCTAGAAACGTCTCTGATACATTTGCCTATGTCGCGGTCGTCGCATAGCAACGGCTCTACACGCCACAATATGTTAAAGTAGGTGGTGGATATAGTAACCACTGAGCTTTAAAGGTTTAATTTACCTATTGCATAGTTTTAAAATTGGAAGCCAAATTTCTGTTTTTCGTTCTCGTTGGGAAAAATTAAGAATAACATTTATACATTTTCGGCGAGACTGTATTTGTTTTTTCTGTATTCTCAGTGACAGGTAAGAGTAAAGTCACATGTAGAAACTCTTACAGGTGACTGTATTACGAGTACAACGGAATGACTGGGAACAAAGTACTGTCACTTTTCAGAGACCCTAAAACCTGTTGACGGGGAAACTTACCACACACACACACACACACACATAGTCACATGCGTGACTACATTTCGAGGAGCGTGATTAACTTACGTCATCTTTCCCAGATTTGGGAGGCTTAATCAGCACTCTAACGCCTTTACGTGCAAAGTACAGAAAAGTGTCCTTATACCCGTTTAGTCCACAACATCTCGTACTCCACTGTCTTCCCTTACGGACGCTATAGCAGGGAAACAATTACAGTGGGGATATTTAGAGAGATTTTTGTAGATGTTGTTAGCCTAATTTACCATCCTCTTTCTCTTTGTCGTTGTGTCCTTTCAATTTTTGAAGTAGGTGACCGATTTTCATGAATCTTGGTTTGAGCTTATGACGTTGGAGGCCACCTCAACTCTTTTAATCTCCTGCAATAAGTAACCGCCTCTGTGGTCTCGTGGTCAGAGTTCCTGGCTACAGATCCAGAGGTCACTGGTTCAATTCCCGTCGCCACCAGATTTTCTGAGAAGTAGTGGGTCTGGAACGGGGTCCACTCAGCCTCGAGAGGATAACTGAGGAGCTATTTCAAGAAAATAGCGGCTCCGGTCTAGAAAACCGATATTGACGGCCGTGGGGATTCGTTGCGCTGACCACGCGACATTCTCTATCCGCTAAAGTTGACATTAACTTCGCCGACAAGCGGCGGTCGCCCGGTCGGTATAGTTCGCTTGCGGACTGAAACCACGGAGGTTTTTTGTTGTTTGTTTGAAGTAACAGTAACATGACGAAGGCGCGCAACTGGTATGGTGATAGCGTCTCTGGCAGCCCTTAATACAGGGTTCCTAAAGGTTGTATGCTAATACACAGATCATGGAAATATATGAAGATTTTTGTAGGATAATTTTTATAGGATATAAAATAACAACGTCAGCACCTGCTCACGCTGGTTCCCCGCTCGCGGATTTTCTTTTTTTTTTTCAACCCTGAAGATGGAAGCGATACGTTCCTCCGAAACGTCCCGTTAACACAATATATACACGGTGCCACATCCCAGAAGACGGCTCTTCATAGTCACCGCCGTGAACACCCCAAATTTTACAAATCGGAAAGAAGGCTGCGAATGCATTGACCGACAATTACCCGAAGACAACAACAACAAAATCTCCGTCCATTCTAAGGTTTTCCGCGTCTTGGATATTCCCCCCCCTAACACACACACACACACACACTAAGAATCGAGCCGCGGGCGTCAAGTCCGTAACCTGGTCACTATATTGACAGCTCCCCTAGGTACTTTGGGATTGCACTAACACTGCAAAATTTGACGCATTTAAAGTGGCTCGTGGCCCCTGTGCTAGAGTAATCGTGCTTACGTTGAATTCTGCACAGACCGAAACTCATGGGCACCAAGTCTGAAGCGGTTTCAGGCGTTCGCTCCTCACCCCACAGAGATATACTGCAGGAGGCTTATGCTGCTTCGCAGAGCTGACCTGTCCGTAGTCCAATAGTGCATGCATAATTTCACGCACATCAGCCGACCGTTCGCGAATTATTTAACGCGATGAAACTGGGGAAAGGGGTTGTAACTGTCATATAATTTCAGTTCAAATTCGCAAATAGTTTTCAGTCAGATAATAAAGCATTTTGATAAGAAGACAGTCGGCGTAGCTCAGTCAATATAGTGATGAGACTACGGACTGGATGACCTGAGAACCGGGGTTAGAGCCCCAGCGGATGAAGAGATTCTTCTCTTCAACGCAGCGTCTAGACGGGTGCCATGGACTCTTCCTTCTGGAGTAAATCAGTCGGGGCATTAAGCCGAACATTCATTTCCAGGTATCGTCGACGTTAAGAATGTGAAGAGCTACGCCTCCTTTACACCCCCCCCCTCCATGTCTTCATGGTATGACGCGTATTTGATTAAGCACAGAGACTTTACTTTCACCGACCGCCTCCGTGGTCTAGTGGTCAGAGTTCCTGACNACGACCTAAAATATGACCCAAAAATGTAATATGCCGGCCCGAATTTTGATGACCTGAAAATATTAAAAAAGTGACCGAGAAAATCCAGAAAAATTACCTAAAGGAGAAAATGAAGAACACTTCGCTTCCATGTTATTCACATTTCAGAAAACATATGAAGAAAAATTCCCTAAAATTGCCAAAAATGACAGGATATATCCTTCAAAGTCCAAAAATTTACCAAAAAATTACCCCCAAAATGAAAAAAATGACCTTAAACCTAAAAATGTCAAAAAAATCAGAAATAAGTAC